GGGGTTGGGTTGTTGTTGTTTTTTTAAGGCCATACACTATGCTTCTTTGCACCAAAGTCTACATATTACTGATTTTTAAATACTTTTTTTTTTCTTATTTTCTCAAAGGATAAAAAATATTCCGTTTTTAAGAATCATTGTGCCTGTTTTGTATTGTAGGACATGGCAAATTAGAGAAAAGCCAGGCTGGCTGAAGGACCGTTTGCAAAGGCAATAAATGGAAAAAAACTATCTATGCTATTATCTATGAAATAATTATTCTTCGGGGAAAGAGAGAGAAAAACTGTTAAAATTATTCTTTTTAAAATTGTACCTGGTACCTTATTTATTTTCTTCTCTTGCTTTCCTAAAAGATTTAGAATTTGAACTGAAATCAGGCGCTCATCAAAATAATGAAACCGAGGAAACGCATTTTACTGCCAGTTTGGACATTTTTATCAAATTTTTTCATTTTGGTTCAACCTCTTTTTAAAATTCATATAAAAACTTATTTCCATGTGAATTTTACAGAAGAACATTGATTAAAGGCTCAAAATATGTTTTTTTTCTTCTGTTTTCAAAACTCTTTAGCCATTGAAGTTGCCTAACTTTGGCAGCCATTTTCTCGCTAACTTCACTACTGAAACCAGGGGACCTCACTTCCTTCTATCGCAAATATCTTGAGTTCTCTTCAAGACAGATGGATATCTATTTCATCAAAAGCAAGACAAATGAACAACCTTTAAGATGATACCAATAACTCCACATGTCCAAAAATTGAGGAGCGCCTGATTTCGCCGCGCTGTAACAGATTATATTTGACTTGTAACACTAGTAACTTTCCACATTTTTCCCTGGACAGGTATGAAGACTATTTTTGGCACAGCGTCACAACTGCCGGAGATTACGGGAGAGTACTCGGAGAAAGCCAGCAACGCCGTCTCCAGTCTCGTCAAAGGGGAATAACTAACGCACACGCTAGAACTGTTCCCTCCCCTTGACTCTTGTTGATTACTTATTAATTCTATTTTTCTGTGTGTGTAAATTCAACAACAACACGTGTGCTTGGAAAGAAGAAGAAGAAGAAGACAACCACCGTCGCAGCCCCTCCCCTCACCCTCACCCGTAATCAAATGTGTACCGGTACGACTGACGGTATCACTTCGTAGTTTTTTAGTCACTACTGTGATGAGAGTAGATGTCGCACGAACCGGATTTGATATCGTTTGTTCTGGATTGGATATCGCAAGGCCTGGATCTTGATTGGATATGGCAAGGCTGCCTGGATTGTGATTGTAGCAGTCGGACCTGGATCGTGCGTCACATGACGCGGATTGGATTGGATTGTTGTATGTCGTGTGACCTGGAGAGTGGATGTCGGATTAACCTGGGTTGAATGAATGCTGTGTGGAATGATAACTTGGTGATAAGTCGCATAACCTTGCAGCTGGGATACTCTCGGCTGTGACCTTGCAGCTGGGATAGTCTCAGCCGTGACCTTGCTGCTGGGATACTCACGTCTGTGACCTTGCAGCTGGGATAGTCTTGGCTGTGACCGTACAGCTGGGATAGTCTCCTCATCTCTCAATTCATCGTCATCGTCATCATCATCATTGTTCTGAATGTGTCAGGATGTGTCGTTATTATAAAATTAGCCCAGTCTCTCTGTTTCATTATTTTGTTACAATCTTGTATTGTAAATCAGACAGAAATTGTAATAATAGTTTTAACTGTGGTTTTTCTCTCGTTCCTCCACTTTCCAGTTTGAGTGGAGTTTTCTCTTTCTCTCACTTTCCCTCGCCTTCGTCGGAAAGTTACTTTGGATATCTTCTGTTCGTTTCAGACGGAAAAAAATGTGTGTGTATTTTACATGACAGCTGTCTTGTTCTCTGTGGGTTTGTGGTGGTTCAATTATTAAACCGTTGATCAGACACTTTACCTCTGCCGCGTTTCTTGGAATTTGTTCGTTGATTGGTTGGAATTGTATTGTGTCCCAGTTAATACATATTATATATAGTTGGAGGGCACCACTTGTAGGTCCAACTTCTTTTCTTTTTCCCTGATGTTTCTGTTTTGTTTCTTCCCCTATATTTTGACTGTTTTTGTTTCAACATGCCTTTGTTCACTCAACAAACCAATTGATAAAAGTATTTACTAGTGCGTGGTTGGCAGGTGCTCTGGTGTGGTTTGTTTTTCTTTTCTATCAAACGTCTATCGCCTTTATCTCCCCTCCTTTTTTGTGTTTGTTACTTGCAAGACAGCTCTATTCTTCGGCACTTATTACAATCTTATTGTGTTGTAAGTGTCGTAAAACTCTTACTAAAATATTGTTAAAACACGGGTTGTTGGAGGGCGCCACTTGTACGTCCCTGTTTCTTTTCTTTCCTCCTGTTATTTCTTTGAGTCTCATGAGCGAGTGGTCGGCAGGTGCTCTGGTGTGGTTTTCTCTCTCTCCTTCATTCTTATCAAATATCTATTGTCTTTATCTGTCTCTCTCTCTCTGTGTGTGTCTCTCTCTCTCTCTCTCTCTCTCTCTCTCTCTCTCTCTCTCTCTCTCTCTCTCTCTCTCTCTCTCTCTCTCTATCTCTATCTCTCATTCTCTCTCTCTCTCTTTCAAACACGCACACACATTTACACACACGCTCACACACACACCACTCACACACTATCTCTCTCTCTCTCTCTCTCTCTCTCTCTCTCTCTCTCTCTCTCTCTCTCTTTATCTCTCTTTCTCTCTCTCTCTCTCTCTCTCACACACACACACACACACACACACACTCACTCACACCCCTCCCCACACACACATACACACACACGCATGGGTAAATTGTGCTGATCGGGTTCACTTGTCATAACAAATTAAAATCAAATCAATAAATCTAGATATCTAGTAATTTAAATTCCTATTGAGATCCATTTGTTACTAAATTTGAAGTTTGAAGTACACGACAGTACGGTACATATATAATAAACATGATCTTCAAAGTACATAATATTGAAAATGAAATGTCTCAGACCTATACCACACCCTCAGACCAAAGATCCTATACCACTGTCGGATCTTTTCAAAATTCTAAATAATAATAATAATAATAATAATACGATTACTGACGATTCTGCAGGCAGATCCTAGCGATCAAGGTCATGTTTTTAAAAAAAATCAAATTATAATAATAAAGGAAATACGTGTATCATTGTAATAATAATAATATTATTAAAAAATGAAAGGTCCCTGGTCTTGGTTCATCATTTTCCGAGTAGAAACGTTGAAAAAATCTGGGCACCGGATAGAAGGTTGCAGAGAAAGAAACCGAAAGTCGAAAGTCGTCTGCTCGTCTGCCAGCGACGCCTCCGCCGAGGGGCACGCACGCAGTGTTTTTTGTTGTTGTTGTTTGTTAGTGACACACTTCGGCTCCGATGGAGTCAACGGAGGCTGTTGTCACTGGAACCTGCCAGTTCATGTGTCCTGTTCATGAACGAATGATGTGAGTCTCCGCCTTCAATAGCCTACCTGACTCAGTGGGTCTGGGAGGATTTCCGTAACGAGAGACCACTAAGAAACAGCAGAATAGAGGGATAGGGTTAGATCTAGCCTTTGGGGTTAGGTGTCTTCTTTATTGTGTTTGTTGGAATGGTCGCTCGGTATGGATAAAAGTCTGTGACGATTTACTGCCCGTCAGTTTTAAAAGGATTTTTTTTTTTTAATCACCCTACCCAAAGTTATGAAGCGAAAGCCATGCTTTTCCCCACATGATGAAAGCAAGTGGATCCACTGTGGGAAATTAATATTGAATATTGGATTTGGAATACGTTAAGTGTTTGTGAATTTTGGTGAATTTTAAAAATTGACCCATACTTTTGCCAGTAACCCTCTACTCGGTTGGTGCATGCACCTGTCACTGGGTCAACGAAATGCTGTTGAACATGAATCAGGGTCAAATGCACATATGGGGGGTTTACAGGAATATTTACAATATATAATGTTGTACGCAGCAAAGCCATCACTTCACTATGGATTATAGTACTGGGTGCAATGCAGTTCTGGATAATATTTAAAAGAGTTGCTGCTGTTCTGTCGGGAACAATTTCTAAAAACCCTTTGTTTGTTGCCCTATCCACCCCACCAAAAACCCACCTCTGTTCTACTACCTCCCTACGTTGTTTTCTCTCCTGGCTACTAAACTTTCATCTATTTCTACTTCATGACCTGGACCACCTATCTGGTAAATAATTGTTTTCAACTAGCCACCACAAACAAACATCTCTAAAATAAGCAAACCACTGTACAACAGTTTTTCCGAAGGTCCAGTGAGTAATGTCGTATGATTTACAGGTTCTTTGAAGCTCCAGGAAAATAACAACTCTACAATGTTTCTGTAGGACAACTGGCTGTTCTCCCAAAAAGTGTCTTTACACAAAAATACCTTACGTCCTTTATGTGAAGGGAAATGAAAACACCGTTCTTCTCCTCTGCCTGTCTTCACTAAAGTCATCAACTTTCCTGACTTTAGCATGGAATGCTTTTCTTTTTTTAGGCGGGAAAGAGAAGGATTGCTTCACCCTCTTGAAATGCAGAGCTGCATCGGTGAGAGTGGGCCCCAGAAATTCAGGTGAGCTGCGAAGTAGAAAATACTGTCTGTGGTGGGCTGAGGGGACAGAAGTCGACTCCTCAGGTTTTTGAGGCCAGGGCATTTGTCCTTTGGATGTTTACACACACACACAGACATACGCACACTCACATAATAATGTATATATATATATATATTTATATAAAATCAGGGTTGGGTTGATTTAAATCAGTTGATTTTTTAAATTTAAATCAACTTGATTTTTAAAATAAAAATCAGTGATTTAAATCACTTTTTTTAAAAATTTATTTTTATTCAGTTTTTACATATTTCAACATTCAGAATTCCCTTCCTTGGTTTCATAAAACAGATATAAGGTTAAGTAGACTAATAGAATCATGTTTAAAAGTCTGCTTTCCCACCTTTCACTGTAAAATAATACAGTATTCAATTTACTTTTTTTTTCATAAAATTGAAATCAGAGCTGGGTTGATTTAAATCAGTTGATTTTTTAAATATTTCAATCAACTTGATTTTTAAAATAAAAATCAGTGATTTAAATAACTTTTTAACAAATGTATTCAGTTTTTACATATTTGAACATTCAGAATTCCTTTCCTTGGTTTTATTAAACATATAAGGTTTAGTAGACTAATATAATCATGCTTAAAAGTCTGCTTTCCCCCCTGTCACTGTAAAATAATACAGTATTCAATTGACTTTTTTTTCATAATTGAAATCAGGGTTTAAAAAATTTTTAATCAACTTGATTTTAAAAATAAAACTCAGTGATTTAAATCACTTAAAAAAAATGTATTCTGTTTTTACATCTTTAAATATTCAGAATTCCTTTCCTTGGTTTTATAAAACAGTATATAAGGTTTAGTAGACTAATAAAATCATGCTTAAAAGTCTGCTTTCCCCCCTGTCACTGTAAAATAATACAGCATTCAATTTACTTTTTTTTCATGATTGAAATTAACATTTTCTTTTTCTTTTTAGACAAACACACAAGCGTGTGCACACACACACACACACTGTAATAAAATGCAAGTTTATCTATGCATAATTACCCCCCCCCCCCCCACCCCTTCCTTTTAGACTGACATTTTCTTCATTTTTTGTCTATATATATATATACTATTATATAGCAGATTAAGGCTTTCTTTTGAGGTTGCTTAATTTAATCATTAGTTAAAATAAAGACAATGCATTTTGCACTGAAAGAACATACTTTTAGCAACCAAAAATCCCAAACTGTGTCGACATTTTAAACCCCCAAAAAAAATCTGATTTAAATTTAAAAAATCATGATTTAAATTTAAAAAATCGATTTTTTGGATTTTTATGGGAAAAAAAAAAATCACCAACCCTGTATAAAATTTATATCAAACTGGTATATATATATAATTATATATATATATATATATTTATATCAAACTGGTATTGACGGTGCTGTACTATTAACCATAGTATAACAGTAAGAACTTGGTCATTCATCTCTCTTTTTAGTCTACCATCAGGAGTCGCCATGTATAATAAACTAGATAGTTTAAAGTGTTGTTGTATAGTATGCTTACTTTTGTGTCTCCTCTCATTGTTTCATAAAAATCAGAGTTTTTTTGTGTTTTGTTGTAGATTTTTTTTTTTTTTTTGCGCTTTGAAAAATTTTTAAGTTTTTCGGATACAGAATAACACCTGCGACGTGTGTGCCTCCTTTATTTTGAGTTATTCTTATGGAGTGGAATTAAACTTATTTACATATAAAAGATGAATGTTGTCCCTTAAAATATTCTTTTCTTTTTTTCCTTCATTAAAATTCTAGGGGTGGGGAGGGGGGGGAATGTGCACCCCTTAATTATAAACATAATTTTTAAAAGTCGTTTTGGATAGAAAACATTCCTCATTTTTTCTTCAGAATTTGTCTTCTCAAGTTATTGATTTGGTTAATGGGAAGAAAACATATACTGTGCTAACAGTGTACGTTTTTCCATGTTGTTTCTATATATATATTCTTTTTGATTTCTGTCTTAAGTAGGGAGACATCTTAAGCTGGTGAAAGGTGAGGATACGGTTCTTTTTCTATGTTTACGAAATATCATTTTTCGGACTTTGAATCTCAGTACGCTTGCTCTGTTTGGTTCTCAGAAAAGCCGATCCTGGGACGACCGTGAAAGAGTTCTCCCGTCCTGCGGCTGGACGACACGATTCGGAGCCCGCTGACCTACGGCCCGCCCCGGTTCTGAAAGAGACGACGACCTATTTATTTGAGAAGTGAGTGCTCAAATGTCTCCAGTTCGAATATTGGCGTGATAAGAAGGAGGATGTTATCTTTTGTCTCTGAGTTTTTTCAATTGGTGAAGTACATGAAAAATGTATGGTGTGGGATTTTGTTTTGGCAGACACTTTTTGTTCGTGTTTGTTTTCATAATAACCACAATTTTTTCCGAATGATTTTTTTTGGCTCAACATCTTAAAGGTCAATTTACAAACACGTCTCTTAGTGGATTTTACGGAAAAGGTTGATCAAAGGATTTAAAATTTTCAAGCTTTGGATGTCATGAAACTTTGGCAGTCATTTTCTTGTTAACTGGCGACGTTATACCCACCTCCTTTAATCGCTAATATCCCGATTTGATTTTAGATAGATGGATTTGGTTTTCTTCAACAGCAAAATAAATGAACAAGTTTTGCGATGATACCAATGCCTCCATACAAAGATTGACGAGCCTCTGATTCCACCACGTCGTGACACATATGTGTGCTCGGCATCATTGTAAGCCTGGTTTTTGAAAATTGTTCAACATGGCCACCCACCCTCAAAGAAAAATAAAGTTCTGATTTTAATGATGAGAGAAGATAGAAAAGTTGTCCTGCACTCTACTTAATTTACAGCTCGTCTTGACTACAATACAGAACAATATCACAAATTTTGAACAATATGCCACAGCTGGTCGCTCACTACTGTGCATCTCCTTGGTATATCGTATATCGTGCCTTTAGATTTAATATGGTGGCTTTTAAGGACAAGTGGGCTAACTGAGATTTCGGGGGTTTCCAGAAATCTTGACCTACACCAAAAGTGGGCATTGCCCTTCCTATAGGAGAAGTTTGGTTTCATCGGTGTGTATATTTGTTTGGTTATAGAAAAAACTCTCCTTGTCTTTTAAAGAAACTGAACAAGAGGCAAAAACTTTACCTTCGATTTTCTCAAAACAGCATTTTTTTCGGGATAGCAAGCGACCAATTTTCTTTGTTCCTATCTCAGAATCGTGCCCCTGGACCACCCAGCCTGGAGCAGCGTGTACGAGTTTGTGTTTGACCGTCTGCGGTCAGTGCGGCAGGACATGGTCATCCAGGGCATCTCCGGCCCGGACGCCATCCAGCTCCTGGAGCAGATTGTCCGCTTCCATCTGTACGCCGCATACAGGTCAGCCCATCACTTCAGATCAGATTTACAGATTAGATTAGATCAGATCGCCCTTCAATCAACATCTAAACCGAATTGGAGTAAAGCCGTCTGTTCTTCTCTAGAAAACTAACCGATCTGAGGGGATGTTTTCTTCCCAAGCTACCCCACACATCTAATTGCCTCTACTCCTCAAGACAACAATTAGAGCAGACATGCAGCTATTACAGAATGGCATCATGCAGAAGAATTTTTTTTTAATGCTCAGATGCTACTGGATCGCTTACAACAACATTAGATCAGATCAGATCAGATGAAAAAAAATTGTTTATTTTCTTTAATGTAGGTATTTTTTTATGCCCCCATCGAGTTTAGATCAATTAGAAAGCGGGTTTCCGACCTTGCCTGTAGTGTCAGGGCCAACCCAGGCTGAGAGGGATGCAACATCCCAGCTGAAAGACGGAAATACTCAAGAAAAATTTTCTCCTGACTCGGGGGAATCAAACTCAGGTCTCCTGTGTGTGACGACGAAGTGCCTGACCGCTAAACAACAGACGCCAATAAGTTGAGATGAGATTAAGTAAAGTAGATTGTGTGCTTTTATTTGTATGACGCGTATAGGTCAGAGCATGAGATCAGATGAGATGAGATGGGGTGTAAGATGAGATAAGAGAAGCGATGAGATGAGACGATCTTATTTGATCCATGAAGGAAACTTTGGGTGAATATACCAGACCATTCATTTACAAGTACTCAGGTTCAACACAGAACTACGCTCAGTACTTTCATTTTCAATGATAGGGCCTATATATACATGTACAACGGTGTACAACTTTCTTACTCATGTGTACACAACACTCTCTCTCTCTTCTCTCTCTCTCTCTCACTCTCTCTCTCTCTCTCTCTCTCACACACATACACACACACATACACACACACATACACACACACACTCACACACACACACATCTGTCTCTTTTGTTCCCCACAGACTAAGAGACGCGGACATTTCATCGTTTGACCCTGTGATAAACAAACAACATTTACTGGAGTGTCTGAAACGTTTGCTCTATCTCTACCAGGTACGTGTTTCTTGAATCAGCTGTGCTGATATTTCCATGAATTTACACTTACCCCCCGGAGCGGTGCTACTGACTGAACTGTCTTTAGGCCATTCCCAGAGGTGGGAGATTAACCTGTTCTTATGCATAGTAGAATTGTAAATAGGATGATTCATCGATGTCATGCTCATAACTGTGCCTGAACTGCAACTGGGAACAGCTGCCTTTTCTCTCCTCATCCTTACTATCGTCATTTTCCTCTACTTCTTTTGTATGTTTGTCACACTCTTGTGTGACTCGGGGTGCCTTGATAGTCGAAGCAGACTTTGTGCTGTTAAGACTAGAGAGGTGAGCAAAGTAAGCCTGATTCCCTGTAAAGACTTCTCTGTTGACACCCACCCGTTGGCACTCTTATGACCTTATGCAGTTGCCAGTGCCGTAAAACCTCTACATAAAAAAATGGCGTTATAGAGAGTTGTCTTTATAGAGAGGCAACCAAATATATTACTTCTGATATTATATAAGTGAAAAATCGGGACCTGGGCACCGTGTCGCTATAAAGAGGATGTCGTTATATCGAAGGCCGTTATAGAGGGGATGCCCTGTATTTAGTTGTGTGTGGGAATAGTAACTCTCTTGAGCCTGAGCTATTTTTAGCTCAACATCCATTTTAGCCTGACAGTTTGGGGGTGTGTTGAATAGTTAATCATGGAAAGACTGTGAAAGCTATGATAACAAACAAAAATTGCGACAAAAGAAAGAAAGAAATGGTCTCACAGAAAAAGAAAACTATCAAATTTCTCCCATTAGTTTTTATTTTATCAGTATTTTGAAGTGAGGGTTATACAATTTTTTTTACATCCAATTTGTAATAAAATCATTTTGAGAAAAGATAACGATTCTGCATGAAATATAAGCAAAACCAAATGTTTATATTGATTCTTCTCTGTGTCATAGAACATTTTCTGAGTAACTCCGAAACAAACTACAAACTGTTAGTTCTAACTTATGTAGTGTCTGATGAGTTTGGTGTGGAAGCAAAAGGAGTACATGATGCATTTCACAGATGGTGCGACAGTGTCCTGTTGCTATAGTTCTGTGCCTGAAGGCCCCCACTACCTCTCTCTCTCTCTCCCTCCCTCTAGAGGTGGGCAAAATCCGGACAATCTATAGGATAACCGGATAATTCTCAATGAAACATTATCCGAATTCAGACTCTTAACTCTCTTTTTTCCTGACCCGTTTGCCGAAGTGGG